ATTCTGAGCCACCAGAATGGATTTGTCAGGCTGATCAATGCACTGAATAAATGACAGGTTTTGATGTACCCTATAGTAAAGTGGCAGCAGAAGGACTCATCAGCAGAATGGGACCATCACCAGTCACCCCCCACAATTAAGGTCTCGTGTCATACTCTCTACCAATTGCCTCTGGACACTTGTGATTGATACGCTGATGGGAAAGCAGCACATGGATATTGTTATTAATTCGGAAGTATTCCTCTATAGCCCTCATGAGTAATTTTTATTTATTTTTTTGTTTCTGTGGTTTTAGGCTCTGAAACTTCTTGCAAGCTTAACTTTACAATGCAGCATGAATTTACCATGACTCTTGCACTTAAATGCTACGCAGTGTTAGTTTCAAAGACAGCACTAGGTTTCATTTGCATGGTTCATGTGAAGTTGTAAGAATTCAAACAAACAAACAAAAAATCTGCACAGCATGACACAATAGCTGATCATAGGAGCCACTCTTCACAGTGACATTCTGCAAGCAGCAGTTGAAGCTGCAGTTTCATGCTTTCCTAAATCCCACATGGAGCTGTTATGTTTTCAGGCTCAGATCTGCTATTTCATTGCCATTACTTCACACGAAGCTGACATAGTAAAGACCTTCCACTCTCCCATAGCAAGTGCGCTCTGCAGTTACACATCCTCAAATAATTCTCCCATATGGCCTCTTGTTAACAGAGGATTAGATTTTTCCTGTTATTTTGTAATAAACGGATAATTTTAAAAGAAGTTAAGTCAGCATGTTTACTCACCATTATAAGAACTTGTCTGTCCCTTATATCTTTCTCTCCTAATTTAGCACTGATATTCCTAATGGATTTAGGCCTGTTCTTTCAGACCCAGAATGCTAAATGCATTTGTCTGTGAGAAACAAGAATATCTATTGATTGGTTTGGCACAGAAATCTCTGTTTTTTCATGGGCAGATGAAATTTTTGTTGATATTGTTCTCTAGAGCATTTCAGAGTACTAATAATCCCCATATCAATCCCTCATTCAGAAGACAGTCATTCAATTTCTTAAAAATCAACTCTCTGCACTCCTGCAGAAGGCTGTCTGGAAGTGCATCTTGCCCCAGGAACATTTGTTAAACGTGTTTAGATGTAAAGCTGTCTGAGAATGATCATGCATATGTCAGCAAGAAAACAGACCTTTAAGGATCTTTGAAATTTGTCATGTAGCGCTGCTTTTCAGAATTTACTAAGTATTTCTTATGAGTAGTCTTAAGATGTATTTCAGCACCTTGCAGCTCTGCTTCTGTCTCAACCTTACCTCATCCAACCTGGGCTGTTAATGGAAAGGTTAATAACAGGTACAGTACTCTCCACCTTCTTCTCCCAATGCACACGCAGGTCTGCACTTACGCTGTGCATACATCTAAATTACTCTGTCCTGCTTAGTTCACATAGAGGCTGTACAGGCATTTGGGCTTGGGTCATTAACTATTCTTCATTCTGTCTGGCTTTTCTTCAGTTAGGTACACACACCTTCTGAATTTCATGTCTCCAGCTGAACTTCTGAAGCTCTGGTAATTGTGGTGACACACAGGAGAGAATGGTCTCACATTCACCTCTATTCTTGCTTCTTCCTCCTGTCCTCTCCAGTTTCCATCTAAGTGTCCTTTCCTCCCCCTTTCTTCTTCACTACCCCCATTCCTCTCCTTCTAACCCATCTTGGATATTCTCACTGACAAATCTAACTGCTACCTCAGTGACAAACTGACTGCATTTGACTTTTGAGTCTCCTCTCCTTTTCTTCTCTTCACACCTCTCCCTTGCTTATCTTGCTTCAGTTCTTTCTTCTTACGAAGCCTGTGAAGTAAATTGAAACTGAACTGTCTCACTATCAGATTTGCTTGTAATCATGGGGTCTCAGTCTGGTGAAAGGAGGGTTGGGTATAAGCAGCCTCTTTTGGATAAAATTGGCAGCACAACTTTTTCTCTAGTCGGTACTGTGGAGGCAGAAGAAAATCTGCAGGTGTCACAAAAAT